GATGCTCCAAGAGCAAAAGATGCTCCAGGTGTGGCCAAGACTAGTCATCTGGAAACGACGGAAGCAATGAGTTTGTTAGCTTCTCTGGTGCATCTACATAACAATCCAACTGCCAAGAAAGTCTGCTTTAAGTGCACCATTCTGTGAAGCTTTCCTAGAGAGGTCACAGACCAGTGCCATAGATCAGAGAGAGAGAGAGAGATATGAAGGTGGTGTGTGTGACAGGAGCATCCGGGTATATAGCATCATGGTTGGTGAAACTCCTGCTCCAAAGTGGTTACACTGTCAAAGTGACTGTTGGTGACCCGAGTCAGTTCAAGACCCTTGATTACATTCGCACATGACATCGTTTGTGGCTTCATCATTCCAAATCATTACAAGTTGTTCTAATAGTACATGTACCAGGTGATGCAAAGAAGACTGGGCATCTGCTTGCTCTAGATGGAGCCAAGGAGAGACTTCATCTTTACAAGGCAGACTTACTGGAAAAAAGATCTTTTGAATCTGTTGTTGATGGTTGTGATGGTGTCTTCCACACTGCATCACCTGTGCTTCTCAGCCCAAAAGATCCCAAGGTTCTTTTGCTCTCTCAAAGGCTTGTGTCATGGTCTCTCAAATGTTCTTTTTTCCTTTGTTTCTTTGGAAACAGAGCTTACAAATTGTGTTGCCAAAGCAGTGGTTTTGTGTATTGTGTATTGTTGTGGCCATAGCAATTAAATGCAGGAGTTGTGACAGTCTAGGTATAGAGGACAAAGTAGGAGCCAATTTCAAACAGTTAGCATGAAATCAAGGGCAAAAAAGAACAGAGAAGGTTTCTGCCAGGGCAACACATCTAAGTCTTTAGCACAATGCATTTATCCATATCGCGGTTTCTCCATCTCTGTATATGCTCGACTTCAATAAGTTCAGTAGTTCATACTTGTCTTTCCATGTCTCAGAAGGAGCTGATAGATCCTGCAGTGAAGGGAACAATTAATGTTCTTTCTTCTTGTGCCAAAGTCCCAACAATCAAGAGAGTAGTGATAACATCTTCTATAGTTTCAGTTGCATTCAATGGAAAGCTTCCGATGTGACAGTAGATGAGACTTGGTTTTCTGATCCGGTCTTCTGTGAGAAATCAAAGGTAATTATACATGATATTCTAAATTCAACTAAGTCATCAGAACATGCTGTTTTTCACCTTTCTTGTATAATCAAATAATTCTTAGAAAATGTCAGAAATGCAGAACATTTTCACTTTTGTTTATACTTGGATGAACTGCATAAAAAAATTTTACTCAGATATAAACCTTGGATCTGTTACAAGTTCTTCCTAGTAACTTTAAACCATCACAGAGGAGCTAGCATGCATCAACTACTCAAATTTGTTTCATTGTGCACTTCTTGCTTTTCTGTTTCAGCTTTGGTATCCAGTTTCGAAAACCTTAGCAGAAGAGGCAGCGTGGAAATTTGCAAGAGAGAAGGGGATCGATTTGGTCACGATGCATCCTGGGTTTGTCATTGGTCCCCTACTACAGTCTTCGCTTAATCTCAGCGCAGAAATGTTTCTCAACCACATCAATGGTAGGCTCAAGTAACTGACAAATTTATTACATTGTTTATTCTGATGAGATTAGGATTCTTACAAGTAAAGTTGTTCCCATTAAATGATACTTTTTACACGATTTGTCCCTAATAATTTGTCCACAACTTAACAAGCAAATGTCAAGAGGAAATATATGTTGATTCATTTTATGATGTGTGATGGAACTTATTAAACTGATACAAACGGCAATAGATGTGATGGAACTTGATTCAATGAAATACACAAATTTATTGGAACCATCTTTATGACACTAGGAGACTTAGAAGTGAAGTTGTTCCCATTTGATGCCGAGATAATTGGAGCAGGAACTCAAACTTTTCCTGACACTTGCTGTAACAGCCCGAATTTCGATGTAATTCTGAGATCAATAAAATCGACATTATTTCGCATTTCATTTTGGTAAGTCTCGCCCAGAGCTGATCACTCTAGGGATACTAACCAGTGGGGTATGGCTAACTGGGAAAACGGTACGTGGACCAGGGACCCGATCGTGAATCGGGCACCGATCACGAGAAATGACGAGGGAATATTTTGGGCCAACGTGGGCCGATATCAGGAAAAGTGATGGATTTGGTTTGGCGAAGGCCAACGATGTACAATCGGATCGCAGGTGATTCTGCACGATCGAAAGTGCACGTGGCCAACCAGTCCTGAACTGGAACCGAATGATTTCGACCTCCGGGACTAGTGATAATTTCTCATCTTCTCAATGATCGAGACCGTCATGGTTCGGATAACCCTAGGTCGATACGCGTAACCCCTAAACAGCTGCCCGTTAGTGAGAGACTCTGAAATTGGAAATTTAGTGAGCTTTGGTCACGAAATTGGACCCGGACTTCTGTGTCGATCTTCGAGGGCTTGAGAGGCTATTTTTACGATTTGACGTCATATTATGCTGGCCACGCACGTTTGGGGATAGTACGGTCAAAAAATGGAATTTCGACCCAGAAGTCAAAAATTACGATTTTGCCCCTTGGGACCCCGACGTTGATTCTGAGGCCGTCTGAGGTTATTTTTCGCGGCCGATGTCATTTTAGGGTGGCCACGCGCATTTAGAGTTGTTTTGGTCAAAAATTGAAATTTTGGCTCGGAAGTGAAAAATAATATTATTTTATTCCCAGAACTCGGCAGTCGATTTTCAAGGGCTTAAGAGGCTATTTTCGCGATTCCGACGCCATATTACGTTGGCCACACTCATTTAGGGTTGATTTAGCCAAAAATTGGAATTTCGCCCCGAGACCGGAAAAATGACCATTTTGCCTCCGGGCTATTTTCGGGTCCGAATTTTTGAGAAATTATTGGGATAATTATTAAGGGTCTTCAGCTGCATTATTGGCCCTATTTACCTTTTTGCCCCTCAATTATTTGGATAGGATCAACTGAGACCGTTGGATTAAGGGCATTTTGGTCAAAACCATTGGATCGGCGACACGTAGCGCCCTTGGCCCACCCTATTTGACCGGATTGACTCTCTCTCTCTCTCTCCTCCTCCCCTCACTCGGCCAGCCTCCCCCACCGATCAGCCCTCCTCCTCCGTTCTCTCTCTCTCTCTTGGCCGTTCGTGGATCTCGCCGGACCGCCGCCTTGCTGCCGCCGTTCGCCGGAGCTGCTGGTCGGCGGCGCCGTCCACGTGTCCCCGACCCCACCAGCAACCTCATCCTGTCTGTTCTCTCTCTCACTCGTCCCCGTTTTCTCTCTCTCTCTCTCTCTTTCCGTTCGGCCAAAGGACCGCCGGAGCAAGCCGCCGTCGCGCCGGAGCTCAATCGGCCGAGCTGCTGCCGCCGTGACCTCCAGCCCGTCCGTACGTCGCCATACGTCGCTGTCCCCGTACAGTATCCGTACGGCCCGTACAGTGACCGTACGGATGTTCGTACGCCGTCCGTACGGTGTCCGCCGGGAACGCCGCCGCCGGTTCCACTGTTCATCGGTGATCGGCCGCCGTTCCTCGTCACCGTGGTCTAGAATTACGTGAGTATAATTCCTAAATCCGGATTACGACTGATAGTGCATTTTTTGGACTGGGTTGAGGATTATCGGTGTACATTGGGAGAAATTAGTGAGTCGAACAATGGTAATGGTGACAAGAATAATATTAGTGATTTATTGGGGTGGCGCGGACTAGTCGAGAATTAGGTGATTGGACTGCCGGGTATGCCCGGACTGACTGACTTGTTGATTGTTGTGCCCATTTATTGGGGAATTGAATAATGCCATGTCGTGTGCTCGTGTGGCCGACTCGTGCGGAGTGTGATCGGCCATTTGATGGCTTGAGTGGGTTATGGAATTACACATTGTGAATTTGGGCCGCACGGTATTAATAGGCCAAGTAAGCACGTGGCTTGTGAATTAGGCACTGTGGAATGACTTTGATTGAACTGTGTGCCTATTCCTATGTTGTGTGGATGCTCATGTTGCATTTCATGGCACGTGTTATGAATGCCGAGAATGAGGCTTGTGATGAAATTGTGTGAGGCTGCGTGCCTGTCATGAGCATATGATCACCTAAAATACCCTGATGCGTGTTACGCGGGGTTCGGATAATAACTGGATGTGTGTATGTGTGATCACATTTCGCCCTGATGCGTGTTACGCGGGGTGTGCCGTCCTCATGCACTTTGAAGCAGGACGATGCCCGGTTCGTCCGGAAGACGACCATTCTGATGCGTTTTACGCGGGCTCTGGTTCGTGAGGAGATCAGTGTTGCGCCTCATGCACTTTGAAGCAGGCAAGAGACACTGGGCCAGATCGGTATTGCGCCTCATGCACTTTGAAGCAGGCTAGCCACACCGGGCCGGGAATTGTGTTGACTCGAGTCGTAATAATTATTAATAATTGAGACAGTGTGTAGAGTGAACCGAAATGGAAGCATGGCATGACATTGACATTGCATGCATAGAGTACATGACCCGACATGTGAGATGAATACTGTGAGCATGAGTATGCGTGTGGTGCACGTGGGACCATTGTATTCGCGCATGTGCCTTGGGAATTTAAATGAACTGCCTAACCTGCAGGGTAATTTTTATGTTCTATTTGGGCCGAGGGCCAAGTCATTGTTTGCGTACTATGTTGTTTTGCCTGTCAGGAGAATGCATGCTAGCCTAGCCTAGGTTTAGGGGTTATACTCATTGAGATTCGTCTCACGGTTGTAATAACCCACCTTTTCAGACCCCCAGCCGTAAGGATGCCGAATCCACCGCTTTTTGGAATACCTATACAGATACATCAGTATACAAGTACATACCCCGCAGGAAATGGGGAATCGTATGTAAGATACCGATCCATGGTGTTTGTAAACGTGAGTGAATATTTTCATCAGACTCAGGAGTATGTGGCTTGGTGCTTGAGGGATGCCGACGGAAACCTAGGGCAACCCCTTAGGACTTTTGATGCGCCAGTTGGTCAGGATGGATGGATGGAACCCATACATGCGGATGGCGAGGTGATCAATCCTCAGGATGTCTACGATGTAGATGGCGTTGATGAGCCTATGGATGGAGAGCCACAGGTGATAGCTGAAGACCTAGACCAAGCTGCCGAGGAAGAAGACGAACTGGAGGACATGGATCTAGATTCTGACGAAGACGATGGGGAAGTAGCAGAGGTAGGATCGGATGTAGAGATAGGACCCGATGATGAGTTAGGGCTTTATCTTGACCCAGAGCTTGAACCGGATACTGAAGACGAAGAGGCAGCAGCAACGGATATGGATTCCGAAGAGTTCGAGCCTCAAGAGGAACCAGCAGAGGAGTCCTCAGAATCATCGGATCCGGATTGGGAGCCCTAGCTTAGGTCCCAACTCTTTATAGGGAAGCTAGTACTTTTTTTGCCTGCGATCTTCCCTGTAGTTGACCCCACCTTTCCTCAGCCATAGTATCTTTTTGATCTGGTGGCTTCTAGAAGTTGTTGTCTTCGTTTAAATCTTTTGATCTGTATAAAGTACATTGTAAAAGGGGGTTTTTCAGTGGGTAATGAAATGTACATTCCTGTTTGTATGATGTTTTATCTGTGGTATCATGTATTTATCTGTACGGGTGTATATATATATTTATATACGTGGTTTCCACTTGTGTTTGTTCTCTGATATAGTTTGGGTCGGCGACGCTTCCTGGAACGTTGCACCATAACCGGCGAAGGTAGGGATGTTAGCGCTTTCTTTGGGTACGGGGCGTGACATCCCCGTTTGAATTGGTATCAGAGCAAGGTCAGCTAGGTCCAATTTGGTCGAAGTTTGGAGTGATAAGGAACGATGAGACCATGGATAGCCAGTAGGGTGACCTTGTGTGCTACATGCATCTCCTGACAGTTGTGTTTGATTGAGTGCTTACTGGTATGACCCGTAAAGTACAGATGCGACAGGACTCGAGGTGAGTATGCGAACTCCTTGGGTGATGTGTTGATTGGCTCTTGTTAGGCCGCATGCTGGTTGTTTGATGGTTGTTTTGATACCTGCCTAGGACTTAGACTGGGATATATTGGTTTAAGTCTTTAATTCCTTAATGGAATCATAGCAGGTAGTGGAATAGCTGAGTTGTGAGGATGAGTAGAAGAAAGGGTAAGGAACCCTAGGGTCAGCCTAGTTCAGAAGGCCAAGAGGCCCAAGATCGCCGACTAGAGGACATTATTCAAACCCCAAGCAGGAGAAGGGGAAAGGAGCCCCAAGCCCAGGCTAGTGAGGGAGCCCGTGAGGCTAAAGATCCAAGATTTGACGATTTGATGAATACCCTACGGGAGATAGGGCGAGTTATGGGATTGCAAGCGCAAGAAAGGGCTGCAGCTTATGCGCAGGCTGCTGAGGCCGCTCCGATTGCTGGTAATGAAGGGAATCAGGCCCATCAAGGACAGGCTCAACCAGCAGGGGTTAGGCAGATGCCCCATTTAGTAGAACAATTTATAAAGTTGAAGCCGCCTAAGTTTCATGGTCGCGGTGACCCCGAGACTGCGCCAAGGTGGGTGGAAGAGCTAGAGAAAACATTTAAGGTTCTGGGGTGCACCAATGAAGAGCAAGTAGCGTTGGCGGTTTATCAACTTTAAGATGGTGCCAATGACTGGTGGAATGCCATGGAAGGCAGAGTATTTCCGGAAGGGACGGCCCCGACTTGGGCGGTATTTATTGAGAATTTCTATGAAAAGTACTTCTCGGAAAATGCTCAGGAAAAGAAACTAATGGAATTTATGCGTTTGCGTCAGGGTCAGATGACTGTGGACCAGTATGAAGCAGAGTTTGCAAGGTTGGCAAAGTTCGCGCCAACTATGGTAGAAAACCCACGGGATAGAGCTCGAAGATTCCGGGATGGATTGAAGCCGGATCTTCGGAGCCTGATTTTGTCTCATGATATAAAAAATTATGGGGAGATGCATAGGCGGGCTCAGATTATGGAGCGGGATCAGCACGAAAGGACAGCCACTTCGGGATCGCAGTTTGCCCAAAATAGAGATAATCGCCGTTTGAGAAAGAGACCTATGACTGGGAATAGGCGGTTTGTCCCACCGGCCAGGCGGAATCTTTGGAAATCGAGCCCCCTATTGAGTAGATATGGGGCATGTTTTAAGTGCGGGAGTATGGAGCATCAGATTCTCAGTTGCCCGCAGATGCAGCCCTCAGGACCACCCAGATTACCGCCATCGCGCATTGGAAATCAAGCCAGACCGCCCCTACCGGCTAATCAATGGCGACTGCCAGCTCAAGGACGGGTTTATGCCATGGCGCGCAAGGAAGCTGAGAATACGCCGGGCGTGGTCACATGTACGATTTCCTTATGTGATCATGCTGCTTATGCATTGTTTGATCCGGAGGCGATCCATTCCTTTATTTCCGAGCAGTTTGTTAAGTTGATTGGTATAGAACCAGTGTTGCTTGAGAATGTGCTTTGCGTGTCTACGCCTGTGAATGATAAAATGCTAGTCTCTTTTGGATGTCCCAACTGTAAGATTGTGATTGGGGATAGAGAAGAGAGTATCGACTTGGCAGTATTGGCCATGTTCGATTTTGATGTGATCATTGGAATGGACTGGTTAGTCCGACAGAAAGCTGTATTGGATTGCAGCGATAGGACGATCCAATTTAATCCGGATGGATGTCCTAGTTTTGTATTTCAGGGAAATCGAGGAGGAACCTCGATCCCTTGGATTTCCTCGCTTGAGGTGAGCAAGTTGTTGGATGATGGATGTGAAGGATATATGGTAAATGTTGTGGATCCGACAAAGGCGGAACCTAAGTTGGAGGATATACCCGTAGTATGCGATTTCCCCGAGGTGTTTCCTCAGGAATTGCCGGGTTTATCGCCTGAGCGAGAGGTGGAGTTCGTGATCGAATTGGCCCATGGGACAGAGCCGATTTCGAATGCGCCATATCGAATGTCCTTATCAGAATTGAAGGAGCTGAAAGTACAAATACAGGAATTATTGGATAAGGGTTTCATTCGCCTTAGTGCGTCTCCATGGGGAGCGCCAGTCCTGTTTGTAAGAAAGAAGGATGGAACTCTGAGGCTGTGCATAGACTACCGGCAGCTGAACCAAGTGACAGTAAAGAATAAGTATCCACTGCCGAGGATTGATGATTTGTTCGATCAGCTACAAGGAGCCTCAGTATTTTCCAAGATAGATTTGAGGACCGGGTATCATCAGCTGAGGATCAGGAACGAGGATATTCCTAAGACTGCTTTTAGGACCAGATACGGGCATTATGAGTTTTCGGTTATGCCCTTTGGACTAACGAACGCCTCAGCTGCTTTCATGGATTTAATGAATCGGGTGTTCAAAGAATCCCTGGACCAGTTTGTGATAGTCTTCATTGATGATATTCTAGTGTACTCTAAGAGCCCTGAAGAGCATGAAGTACACTTGGCAGAAGTGCTATGGACTTTAAGAGAACACAAGCTGTTCGCCAAGTTCAGCAAATGCAAGTTTTAGTTAAACATAGTGGCGTTTCTTGGACATATAGTTTCCGGAGACGAGATTTCTGTTGACCCTGCTAAGATTGAGGCAGTAATGAAGTGGCCTAGTTCGACCTCAGTAACAGAAATTCGAAGCTTCTTGGGATTGGCTGGCTATTATCGACGTTTTGTAGAAGGATTCTCGTCGATAGCCATGCCATTGACGCGATTGTTGAAGAAGGAATCTAAGTTCGTATGGGATGACAAATGTGAGAGAAGCTTCCAAGAGTTGAAGCACAGGTTAACAACAGCTCCCGTGTTGACCATTCCATCTGGACCAGGAGGATTTGAAGTCTATAGCGATGCATCATTGAGAGGACTTGGCTGTGTCCTGATGCAGCATGGAAAAGTGGTAGCATATGCGTCACGCCAGTTGAGGCCCCATGAGATGAATTATCCGTCGCATGATTTGGAATTAGCCGCGATCGTATTCGCTCTCAAAATCTGGAGGCATTATTTGTGTGGAGAGAAATTCCAGATTTATACCGATCATCAGAGCTTTAAGTACCTATTCTCGCAGAAAGAGTTGAATATGAGGCAGCGCCGATAGATGGAGCTTTTAAAGGACTATGATTGTGACATTTTGTATCACTAGGGTAAGGCGAATCGAGTCGCTGATGCCTTAAGTCGCAAGTCTAGTATGATGAACCTAATGGTCAAGGAGTGGACATTATTGGAAAGGCTCAGAGATTCAGAGTTCAAGTTCGAAGTGAGCCAGATGTCTGTTAGCTGCGTTGAGGATCGAACCGGAGATTCAAATTAGAATCAAGGAACTGCAGTCTACGGACCAGGAGATCCAAAAAATTGTCGAATTGGATGCCGCTAAGAGGAAGTCAGATTTCCAAGTGAGTGAAAATGGAATCTTGAAGTTCCGGGGAAGAATGTGTGTGCCTGATGACGTAGAGCTCAAGGAAGAAATTTTATCAGAAGCTCACAGGAGCAATTATAGTATCCACCCAGGTAGCACGAAAATGTATCAGAATTTGCGGCAACATTATTGGTGGAATGGAATGAAGGCTGATGTGGCTAAGCATGTGGCTGAGTGTTTGACGTGCCAACAAGTGAAGGCACAGCACTGTAATCCTGGAGGATTGCCGAGACCATTAGAGATCCCAGAGTGGAAATGGGAGCACATCACGATGGATTTCGTGACGGGATTGCCGCGAAGCCAAAAAAGGCATGACTCGATATGGGTGATAGTAGATCGATTGACAAAGTCAGCGCACTTCCTGGCAGTGCGAAAAGATTTTGAATTGGAAAGGTACGCAGAGTTATATGTGCGGCAAATAGTACGTCTTCATGGAGTGCCAGTGACGATCACATCGGATCGTGATCCAAGGTTCACAGCCAATTTCTGGAAAAGTCTGCAAGTGGCCTTAGGCACCAAGTTGCAATTCAGTATGGCCTATCATCCGCAGACAGATGGTCAGTCGGAAAGAACGATTCAGACTCTTGAGGATATGCTGAGAGCCTGTGTATTGGACTTCCAAGGCAAATGGGAAGAGCAGTTGCATTTAGTGGAATTTGCTTATAATAACAGCTACCAACAGAGTATTCAAATGGCGCCGTTCGAAGCCTTATACGGCAGAGCTTGTAGAACGCCATTATGTTGGGACGAAGTTGGTGAGCGAAGTATAACAGGCCCAGAGTTAGTACAGCAGACGGTGGAAGCTGTCGAGATCATCTGAGATAGACTGAGAACAGCGCAAAATCGCCAAGAGAGTTACGCCCATCGGAGACGACGACCCTTAGAGTTTCAGGTGGGAGATCATGTATTTCTCAAGGTGTCGCCAATGAAAGGATTATCCCGATTCGGCAAGAAAGGAAAACTCAGTCCAAGGTACGTCGAGCCATTTGAGATATTGGAAAAGATTGGTGATATGGCTTATCGACTTGCCTTGCCTCCTAATCTGTCCCAAGTGCACAATGTCTTCCACGTGTCGATGTTGAGAAAGTATGAACCAGATCCGACTCACGTCCTAAGATATGAGGAAATAGACGTGGACGACAAAGTGTCGTACGTGGAAATGCCAGTCAGGATCGAAGATTAGAAGGACCGTGTGTTAAGGAATAAGACGATCCCAATGGTCAAAGTTGTTTAGGAGCATCACGGAATGGAAGGTGCCACTTGGGAAAGCGAAGAAGCTATGAGACGTCAGCACCCCCAGTTGTTTGAGTAGATAAGGATAGATTGCAAATTTCGAGGACGAAATTTTTGTAAGGGGGGAAGAGTTGTAACAGCCCGAATTTCGATGTAATTCCGGGATCAATAAAATCGACATTATTTCGCATTTCATTTTGGTAAGTCTCGTCCAGAGCTGATCACTCTAGGGATACTAACCAGTGGGGTATGGCTAACTGGGAAAATGGTACGTGGACCAGGGACCCGATCGTGAATCGGACACCGATCACGAGAAATGACGAGGGAATATTTTGGGCCAACGTGGGCCGATATCAGGAAAAGTGATGGATTTGGTTTGGCGAAGGCCAACGATGTACAATCGGATCGCAGGTGATTCTGCACGATCGAAAGTGCACGTGGCCAACCAGTCCTGAACTGGAACCGAATGATCGCGACCTCTGGGACTAGTGATAATTTCTCATCTTCTCAATGATCGAGACCGTCATGGTTCGGATAACCCTAGGTCGATACGCGTAACCCCTAAACAGCTGCCCGTTAGTGAGAGACTCTGAAATTGAAAATTTAGCGGGCTTTGGTCACGAAATTGGACCCGGACTTCTGTGTCGATCTTCGAGGGCTTGAGAGGCTATTTTTACGATTTTGACGTCATATTATGCTGGCCACGCACGTTTGGGGATAGTACGGTCAAAAAATTGAATTTCGACTCGGAAGTCAAAAAATTACGATTTTGCACCTCGAGACCCCGACGTTGATTCTGAGGCCGTCTGAGGTTATTTTTCGCGGCCGATGTCATTTTAGAGTGGCCACGCGCATTTAGAGTTGTTTCGGTCAAAAATTGGAATTTTGGCTCGGAAGTGAAAAATAATATTATTTTATTCCCAGAACTCGGCAGTCGATTTTCAAGGGCTTAAGAGGCTATTTTCGCGATTCCGACGACATATTACGTTGGCCACACTCATTTAGGGTTGATTTAGCCAAAAATTGGAATTTCGCCCCCGGACCGAAAAAATGACAATTTTGCCCCCGGGCTATTTTCGGGTCCGAATTTTTGCGAAATTATTGGGATAATTATTAAGGGTCTTCAGCTGCATTATTGGCCCTATTTACCTTTTTTCCCCTCAATTATTTGGATAGGATCAACTGAGACCGTTGGATTAAGGGCATTTTGGTCAAAACCGTTGGATCGGCGACATGTGGCGCCCTTGGCCCACCCTATTTGACCGGATTGACTCTCTCTCTCTCTCTCCTCCTCCCCTCACTCGGCCAGCCTCCCCCACCGATCAGCCCTCCTCCTCCGTTCTCTCTCTCTCTCTTGGCCGTTCGTGGATCTCGCCGGACCGCCGCCTTGCTGCCGCCGTTCGCCGGAGCTGCTGGTCGGCGGCGCCGTCCACGTGTCCCCGACCCCACCAGCAACCTCATCCCGTCCGTTCTCTCTCTCCCTCGTCCCCGTTTTCTCTCTCTCTCTCTCTCTTTCCGTCCGGCCAAAGGACCGACGGAGCAAGCCGCCGTCGCGCCGGAGCTCAATCGGCCGAGCTGCTGCCGCCGTGACCTCCAGCCCGTTCGTACGTCGCCATACGTCGCTGTCTGTATAGTGTCCGTATGGTCCGTACAGTGACCGTACGGATGTCCGTACGGTGTCCGCCGGGAACGCCGCCGCCGGTTCCACTGTTCATCGGTGATCGGCCGCCGTTCCTCGTCGCCGTGGTCTAGAATTACGTGAGTATAATTTCTAAACCCGGATTAGGACTGATAGTGCATTTTTTGGACTGGGTTGAGGATTATCGGTGTACATTGGGAGAAATTAGTGAGTCGAACAATGGTAATGGTGACAAGAATAATATTAGTGATTTATTGGGGTGGCGCGGACTAGTCGAGGATTAGGTGACTGGACTGCCGGGTATGCCCGGACTGACTGACTTGTTGATTGTTGTGCCTATTTATTGGGGAATTGAATAATGCCATGTCGTGTGCTCGTGTGGCCGACTCGTGCGGAGTGTGATCGGCCATTTGATGGCTTGAGTGGGTTATGGAATTACACATTGTGAATTTGGGTCGCACGGTATTAATAGGCCAAGTAAGCACGTGGCTTGTGAATTAGGCACTGTGGAATGACTTTGATTGAACTGTGTGCCTGTTCCTATGTTGTGTGGATGCTCATGTTGCATTTCATGGCACGCGTTATGAATGCCGAGAATGAGGCTTGTGATGAAATTGTGTGAGGCTGCGTGCCTGTCATGAGCATATGATAACCTAAAATACCCTGATGCGTGTTACGCGGGGTTCATATAATAACTAGATGTGTGTATGTGTGATCACATTTCGCCCTGATGCGTGTTACGCGGGGTGTGCCGTCCTCATGCACTTTGAAGCAGGACGATGCCCGGTTCGTCCGGAAGACGACCATCCTGATGCGTTTTACGCGGGCTCTGGTTCGTGAGGAGATCAGTGTTGCGCCTCATGCACTTTGAAGCAGGCAAGAGACACTGGGCCAGATCGGTGTTGCGCCTCATGCACTTTGAAGCAGGCTAGCCACACCGGGCCGGGAATTGTGTTGACTCGAATCGTAATAATTATTAATAATTGAGACAGTGTGTAGAGTGAACCGAAATGGAAGCATGGCATGACATTGACATTGCATGCATAGAGTACATGACCCGACATGTGAGATGAATACTGTGAGCATGAGTATGCGTGTGGTGCACGTGGGACCATTGTATTCGCGCATGTGCCTTGGGAATTTAAATGAATTGCCTAACCTGCAGGGTAATTTTTATGTTCTATTTGGGCCGAGGGCCAAGTCATTGTTTGCGTACTATGTTGTTTTGCCTGTCAGGAGAATGCATGCTAGCCTAGCCTAGGTTTAGGGGTTATTCTCATTGAGATTCGTCTCACGGTTGTAATAACCCACCTTTTCAGACCCCCAGCCGTAAGGATGCCGAATCCACCGCTTTTTGGAATACCTATACAGATACATCAGTATACAAGTACATACCCCGCAGGAAATGGAGAATCGTATGTAAGATACCGATCCATGGTGTTTGTAAACGTGGGTGAATATTTTCATCAGACTCAGGAGTATGTGGCTTGGTGCTTGAGGGATGCCGACGGAAACCTAGGGCAACCCCTTAGGACTTTTGATGCGCCAGTTGGTCAGGATGGATGGATGGAACCCATACATGCGGATGGCGAGGTGATCAATCCTCAGGATGTCTACGATGTAGATGGCGTTGATGAGCCTATGGATGGAGAGCCACAGGTGATAGCTGAAGACCTAGACCAAGCTGCCGAGGAAGAAGACGAACTGGAGGACATGGATCTAGATTCTGATGAAGACGATGGGAAAGTAGCAGAGGTAGGATCGGATGTAGAGATAGGACCCGATGATGAGTTAGGGCTTTATCTTGACCCAGAGCTTGAACCGGATACTGAAGATGAAGAGGCAGCAGCAACGGATATGGATTCCAAAGAGTCCGAGCCTCAAGAGGAACCAGCAGGAGAGTCCTCAGAATCGTCGGATCCGGATTGGGAGCCCTAGCTTAGGTCCTAACTCTTTATAAGGAAGCTAGTACTTTTTTTTGCCTGCGATCTTCCCTGTAGTTGACCCCACCTTTCCTCAATCATAGTACCTTTTTGATCTGGTGGCTGCTAGAAGTTGTTGTCTGCATTTAAATCTTTTGATCTGTATAAAGTACATTGTAAAAAGGGGTTTTTCAGTGGATAATGAAATGTACATTCCTATTTGTATGATGTTTTATCTGTGGTCTCATGTATTTATCTGTACGGGTGTGTGTGTATATATATATACATACGTGGTTTCCGCTTGTGTCTGTTTTCTGATATAGTTTGGGTCGGCGACGCTTCCTGGGAGCGTTGCACCATAACCGGCCAAGGTAGGGATGTTAGCGCTTCGTTGGGTACGGGGCGTGACACTAGCTACAGGTTTGTTGATGTAAGAGACGTTGCACATGCACACATTCAAGCTTTCGAATCTCCTTCCGCTAACCGCAGATATTGTCTTGTTCACAAAGTCGTGCATTCTCACGATGCTTTGAAGATCTTGCGAGAGCTATATCCTGCTCTACACCTTCCTGGGAAGTAAGATTCGCTCATTAGATGTCCGGTTATAATATTCTTATAGTGTACTAAACTCGTCTGCTAAAAAATTCCTGGCCATCTTCCTCATCATTGACCCCTATCCCTCATGATTTGAATGACATCAAAAAATCTAATTTCAGCACTCTCAAATTTTTGTAGCATCAAGTATAAAAATTTAAGGAGTAATGTCAGGAAGTCTTTGCGCATAATACCAAATGATAGTCTCAAAACATTTCATGTTTTCTGTATTTTGTGCAAAAGACTAGAACAAGACGACTCACATTTGGCTTTGCTAAAAGCAGATGTGAAGATGAAGAGCCTTCCGTGCCAACCTATAACATATCAAATGAGAAAGCCAGAAGTCTGGGCATCAGCTTCACTCCTTTGGAGGTGAGTTTTAAGGACACTGTGGAGAGCTTGAAAGAGAAGGGTTTCTTCAAGGACTGATGCTACAACAGGCGACTAAAAGAATGAAAACTATGCCAAAGTCGATTAGATGGGCATTTTCTGCCGCAACACACTTATATCGGAGTTTCCTTCGGGGCGATCTGAAGTTTTCAAATTTCTCCAGAATTTCTACGATGCCACCTGAAGCTTGCGGATGCAGCTATTGTCATTGTCAGACGAATGTTTGACTGTTATCTGTATTGAGTAGCTTGAAATCCAGCGGCAATCCAAGAAGTTCACATTTGCATGGTAGTGAAACTCAAGCCTTGTGTGTCAAAGGGATAAAAGCGAAAATGGCAATAAAGACAATGGGTCTAATAACCAAAAGTCTACGTGTAGCAAAGGTACAACCGATGCAGTCAATTCCAGTAAACAGGAAGGTGTTCTGGCCTGCTATCCGAGTGCCAAATGCCAATCCAATTGAGCAACCGGCGCCACAGCATACACCTTTCCTCCCTCGTTCTAGAAAACAGCGAGCAGGGAGATCTTCTCAAGTCTCTTCGCAGGCTTGTAGCCTCTCAATAATGACAACATTATCGCGAGCCGAATAAAATGGCTATAGTGCGGTGGTCGTAAACAAGGTAAGTTTCATACGCATATCCTAAAGTCAAAGAAAAACTGAAGGATGTTTCCCTGGATCAAAGGAAGAGATGTTGAACTTCTTAAATTTCCATCACCTCTCTCGGTGGGGAAATTGCTGAGGCATAAGTGCTCAACTTCCACGAGCTATCCCATTTCACCGCATGTCTTTCCCAAACCCTACAGTAGATTACCACTTATTTTTAGATTTTCAAGTTGGCGGAACTATTTGTAAATCATCGCCATAACATAATATTTCTACCATCCACAAACCTGATAGAAGATTACCATAAAACTTTAAATTTTACAAGAGGGATGTAGCTATTTGTAAATTACCAATGAAATAGAATATTACCAACCAAAAATCCAATAGCAGATTTACCGCTTGGAAAAGCAATCAGCATGGTGTGGTTGGATTCACAACAAAAGCAATATACTTAGTTCGGGTTTCATGAGACAACCAGGGAAAGAGGAAGAGAAACAAACTAAAGAGATTTTCATATATTAATATTCCAAGCCAAATGACACATTTGAGATATGGAGAAATTTCACACATCCAAAAAGATTCGGATACTTGAAGAACATAAATCATAGATCGGCTCCTATGGCCGCATGGTACACAAAGTTACTCGCCATATATGAAGTGTGCATGATTCATGGTTTTTTTTTGCCTGTATACTCTTCAGGGATCCCACTATTTTTCTCTTTGTTACTTTTAAATTATATCTCAAATTTGAGTTCGCGTACAAAATCTGACCCAACACACAAATCACGTAATAAATCGAGGGATTGTTTTATGTTGGAGTGTGTGTATATATATATATATTCAAGTTTGACCTGTTTGACTGAATATCATCAGACTCCTCTGAAGAGCGTGTAGTGTACGTCTCTTTGTTAGCCGCACAATAAAGGTGTTCATATCCATATATATTGGTTGTTGCTGTTCAGAGCAGTACTTGTGGGTTCTATTTAGTTACTCCTTTCAAGCCGCGAAAGAGGGACTCTTATTTGTCGCCCACGAACAACATCAAAGAGAAACTTACATCCAATTGAAATCGTGTTCAAACTGTGAGGTAATTGTCAATGATTTGTTTTATCGAGCAATTACGTGAGACTAAATATAGTGGTTTTGGGTGTAAATTTGTTAGAAATAATAGAATTGATTTTGGTACAGTTCTCAAGAGCCTGTATCGTAGAACATGGGAAATGCTTCAGTGTTGAAGTCGGTAATATTTCCACGTTGGAGTAGTGGTATTAAAGTTTTGACAGGAAAATGTCCAGCTTGCATCTTGAAGACAAGAAGTGTTCCAATTGGAATTTGCTTCTTAAACCGACTTCATTGAATGACCTGACTCAAAGTTGGACTCCTCTTAGTGTGTAGATTACTGTGAAGCAAACACCTAGTCAAAGTTTGATTCTTCTTTGGCAGTAATTGTGGTGTAGCTCTAATATATATGCGTACGCTAAGTAGATTTTCGTGTAGAGAGAGAAAAGATAAGCTTGTAGAGTTAAGCTTAGAGAGAAAAAGCTTGTATTGTTCAGCTTGTAAGAAAGGTGTGTCTTCCGTGTAAGCCAATGCGAAAGGCATTTTGAACATAGTTCTCTCTCCTTTTGCATATTTGTGTGCTCTTCTTGCCAAAACCTTCAAAGTTTCTATATCCTTTTGGTTCCAACAAAATTAGGATTGGAAAACATTCGAGCATGTGAGTGTTATAGCTCTCCAATTTTTCAATTGATTGGTGGATTATATGATGGTGGCTATCTCTCCATGAAGTAGATACTAACAATTGAACCAAACCATGTAAATTTCTCGTTTTCATTTATTTGTCCGGTGATTTCACATTGAACCGCGTTACTATTACAACGTATACAATGCTTTGTAAGGGATCTTAAGTTTTCTCCTAGTTTTTGCTGGAGTAGCGAGGGGCTTCCTAGTTACTTTAAATTTTTGCTAGACCTTAAAGAAAAGTTGTAATCCGAGTGAACTGAATTTCTTATAAGCAGCAGAAGACATTTCTTTCGTCTTAGCTCTCTTCTCATAGCTCACTTTTTCTTTATAAACAATCGTACCGCTCATCTTTTCCGTTGTTATAGAGATAAAAGCCACTCCATGAAAGATTAGCTCGTTTCTCCTTTGCTACTTTGTGCTATACCATATGGACCGAGCGGAATCATATTCTCTTCAGAAACCGGTCACTCTTTGTACCGGCCATTCGAAACCACCTCACTAAGGTGATAAGGGATTGGGGCGCTACCTTCAAGCATGTTCAAGACTCCTCCCGCAATAGAAGAATCCAAGCAAACTGGGGTCTCTCCTCTTCCATTTTTGACCAACTCTGAGAGATCTCCTTGTAGGTCTTTTCGATCCTTCCCCGGTTGGACGCATCTATTGTCCTTGCCTTTTGGTGATCTTTTGTTGCTTTGTTGAGTCGACACACCTTTAACCTATCGAGACACCCCTTTTGTCTCCTCAGGTTCGAGGTTTTTGTGTTCGATCTCTTTCCTTGTAAATTGCGTTTAGAAAAGTCAATATACTACTTACCTTACCAAAAAAAAAAGCCACTCCATGAAAGAGACTTGCCTTGAGTTGGTCAAGAAAGAGTAGGTGGCCACTGTCCCATTCAAATTTTTCTAGAAACAAATTTAATCAACGAGTGAAAGTCAATGCCTCACACAAGCCGGTCAAATAAATGATCTTGACAAAGTGCAGAGGTTGAATATCTCCTGAACGTAATAAAAGAGAATTCCCACTTACAAATGTATTGCACTCAGTAACCCTCTCATCCCCAGTTCCAAGGAGAAGAGAGGAGCAGAGATGAGTGCAGCAGAGAAGGTGGTGTGTGTAACCGGAGCGGCCGGTTACATTGCCTCCTGGCTTGTCAAGTTGTTGCTTCAGCGTGGATATACGGTCAAAGCAACTGTACGCAATCCCAGTAAGTTTTTATCTTGTTCGCGCTGCATTGTTCACAAATTGGATTTTTAATCTTTGGTTTGTCCATTTTAGTAGTAGAATGGTTTACTCTTTCTTAGTTGAAGCTTGAAACATTCTAGAAAATACGGAAGTTCTACTAAAATCTGTTACTCAGTTATGATGAAAACTATTCTCTTATAATATATCTTACCTTTGCAATTAACTCATATATACATGTGTAATTGTTTGTAAGTGTGTGTGCATGCCTGTATATATAACTTATGCTTCAGGGTACATACGGTACAATGGCATCCAGAGTCACTAGCTAAAGATATGAAGCTCTTGTAATATCTGATTCCATTGGCTTAACTATTCAAGTTTGGTTTAATACACAATCATATGCTACCTCTATAGTAAGATCCAATGCATAGCGTACATTATAAATTTATATTTGTGGTCTTCTTATCTATTGACAACATTTCTTGTTATGTGACTGAAGGCTCCCAGAGTTTTAATCTATTAAATCAAGTTCACCTTTCTGGAACGCATAAACAGATGATCCAAAGAAGACACAGCACCTTCTGGAACTTGAAGGGGCTAAGGAGAGACTACATATATTCAAAGGAGAATTGCAGGAAGAAGGGTCTTTTGACTCAATAGTTGACGGGTGTGAAGCTGTTTTTCATACAGCATCACCGGTTTTTCTCTCAGCTTCCAAGCCTGAGGTATCGGTATATTGCAGTTGTCCGTCATGATTTTCTGTATTTGTTAAATGTGAAGTGTCACATTTTTCAAATTCCAGTTCTTTTTCCCTGGTCTTTTGGTGCAGTTCATCAGATGGCACATGATCTAACATTTCTTGGATGATAAGACAAAACCGTTCTAATCAGATTCCATTCCTTACACATTGCAGGCTGAAATAGTCGATCCTGCAGTTAAAGGTACCCTAAATGTTCTCAGATCATGTGCAAAGGTCCCTTCTATCAAGAGAGTGGTTTTGACTTCCTCCATGGCTGCGGTTGTCTGCAATGGGAAGCCTCTGACCTCTGATGTGGTAGTTGATGAGACATGGTTCTCAGATCCGGCATTCTGTAAGGAATCAAAGGTGTGTAAGTAAGCTGGCTTATGACAGTCGGATCTCTTTTGCTTGGTCTGTGATGCCCCATCAACTGGATGAATTTTTCCAATGAAAAATTTTCAATAGATTTGATTTTGACTGGTATTGGAGCATAATTCATGTTAATTTAATCGTATACTGAGGCTGAACATGTTCAGTCCTGGCTTAATATTGTTGGCCCAGCAGTCAAGACACATTGTCTTCCTTGCCTTAATGGTTTTTCATCGACCTATCTGATTAATTCCTCAACCTTCAAGCATGTCCGTTTGTTTGCCCATTTTTGACCAATGTTTATACTAGTTGGGTGCTTCGCCACACAGAATACCTCTATATGACCATTAACTTTAAGGGATGGACGCCTTTTGAAGAATTACTTCTCTAGTCCTTCTCATCCATTGACTTCGAAATGTCAAACAAGGCAGAGCAAATTCAGTGTCATGTTGATGTCAATCACACCCATCAGTGGTGTGAGCTCACTCATCGCCTAACTTTGGTTTAATTATTTTCAGCTTTGGTATGTGCTATCTAAAACCTTAGCGGAGAAGGCAGCTTGGGATTTTGCAAGAGAGAATAGAATGGACCTGGTTGCGATAAACCCTGGACAAGTGATTGGCCCTCTCTTGCAGCCTACTGTCAATCTCTCTG